GGGGTGTGGAAAAGATGGCTCAGCAATTAAGGGCACTAGCTGCTCCTCCAGAGGACCAGGGTTTGATTCCCAGCATTCGTACGACAGCTCACAACCATTTGTAACTCCAGTTCCAGGGGATCCAACGAAATGCCCTCTTTGGATGCCATAGTCTGATTTCAGACATAAAATAAAATGAATATATCTAACTTTTAAAATTTTTTAAATAAATAGATGAAATTATTTTGCATGTGTGTGCTACTGGGGTATGTGTGTGTGCACCATGGCATGTGTGTAGAGGTCAGAGAAGAAACTCAGCTGTTGGTCCTCACTTTCCACCTTGTTGAAGCAGGGTCTCTTGTTCACCAGTGCATGTCCCAGGCTAGCCAGCCTGCAGGCTTCCAGGCTTCCCATTCCGCCATAGGAGTGCTGAGATTACAGATGTGTGCAGCCTTGTCCTGCTTCGGGGACTCACACTTGAGTGGCAAGCCCTTTACCCACTGAGCCACCTCCCAAACTGGCTTTCTCCTTCTAATTCCACCAAGCTGAGGGGGAGGGCAAAGTCACACATAGTCAATTGCCCTTGAAAGCCAGCTCTGGAAGATGTACTTTAGAAATTCTCGGCTCCCAGAGTCATCACAGCTAGACCGATCGCCCAGGCTGCACTTGACTCCCACTGAGGCTGGATGTGTGGGAAAATGCAGTCTGGAAGTTCTAAGTCCTAGCTGACTCTTAGTGGTTGAGACTCCAGCCTTGGGGTCACTTCTTCAGCTGCATCCAGGAGGAGCGTCTCCCACCCAATCCAGGACTGGTGCCCAGCTATGGGATCTCAGCAATATGCAAATGATTCCCTGCAGTTTGACAAGTGCATCCAATACAATCTGCATGTGCTAAATATGCATTTCATTCAAGTTGCCTCTAGGGAAAGAGTCTTCTCTTTGGGGTGAAATAAAACACTGAAGGTCTAGGGATGCAGTTCAGTAGGCAGAGAACTTGCCTTGCATACACCAAGCCCTGGGTTTGATCCCCAGCACCACATAAACCAGGTGTGGTAGCACATCCCTGTAATCCCAGCACTCAGGAGGTGGGGGCTGAATGATCAATAGTTCAAGGTCATCCTCAACTTCAAAGCAAGTTTTATGGCTAGCCTGGTGGATCTAAACATTTGAAAAAGCCAGGCATGGTGGCACATGTCTTTAATCCCAACACTTAGAAGGCAGAGGCAGGTGGATATCTGTGTGCTAGAGCCCAGCCTGGTCTATATTGCAGTTTACAGGCCAGCCAGGGCTATATAGTGAGGTGACATCTAAAAATAAATAAATAGGTTAAAAGGAGGAAAAGGGGCTGGGGATGGCTCAGTGGTAAAGCTCATGCTATAGAGTGTTAGGTCCAGGTTACAGGGTCCCAGAACGCACAGGAAAGCCAGATGGGCATAGCGACCACCTGTAATGCCAGCACGTGGGAGGTGGAGACAAGAAATGCTCAGAGCAAGCTGGCTGAGGAGACCAGCCAGAGCAGCAAACTTTTGGGTCAGAGACAGACCTACTTCAATATGGGAAGTAGACAGGAATGGAAGACTGACATCAGAGTTGAGCCTCTACTCACAGGAGAAAACACATACATACACATATATACACACATACACACATATACACACACATACACACACACACACACACACACACACACACACACACACACACACACACACCACCACCACCACCACCACCACCACCACCACCACCACCACTTAAGAAGAAGAACCACTAATGCATAATGGCTGCTTCTTCCGGATAAATGCGTTTCTCTGCTTCGTACATACAGATCCACTGTCTTCCCACACTATCCTCTGAGATAGTGTGCAGTCCACAGGAGATGGAGGCACAGAGAGGTTAAAATGTGTTCAAAGTCACACAGCAAGTTGATGGAAGAGGCAGTGGCTTGAACCAAGACAGTCTGATTCTGAGGTACCAAGCTCTGCCACTTGGGAGACAAATTACCACCAGCCCAAAAGCTACAAAAAAAGACACCCTGTGCTGCTGACAGACTCGCCAGGCTCCAGCCGTGCAGCAGACTGAAGGAGAGATGGAAATGACTCGGAAACAGATCTTACAACCAGCATGGAGCTGTGAGAAAGTGCCGGGAAGATTAAGGAAAGCACCAGGCTGACGCAGTTCAGGAGAGGGCTATGTCTCCCAGGCCTGGAAGGCAGGGCCGGGGCATGGAGGAGTCCCTGACAGATGTCACTAGAACAAGAGGAGCTTCTGAGTGGTCACAGGGCAAAACAGGAGACTCAGAAATAATAGGTCTAACGTGAGCCCAAGAGTTAAGGAGAATGACCCAGGCACAGGAATCCAGGCCGGGCAGCGTCAGGAATCACTGTTCCCTGAAGCTCCGTGATTTCTCATGAGTGATTTTGGAGAATAGAGTACACACTCTTAAAAGAACCCAGAGAAATGAGCACAGAGCACTGCTGGGCCCCGAGGGGCAGGTTGACACGGTGTCTTAAAGTGAGGGTGAAGGGGAGCCTGAGTCCCTAGGCAAATCAACAGAGCACTCTGGAGCCAAGCTAGACACCAGCAGGTGGGTGGCAGCAAGCTTTGACACTGGGTGGAGAGGAGAGCGGATTGGGGGTGGGGCCTGTCAGAAGAGGTCTGCAGCCAAATAGGCCTCCAGCGAGTAGCTGCCTATCACCACTGGAGCCCTACAGTCAGACTCTGTGGGGTTCCCAGTCTGAAACTGTCACGGTCCCATTGGAGACAGAAATCGTGGAAGTTCTCAAAGAGGAAATTTAACAGAAAAAATCATTAGTAAGCCATGGTGACGAGGAGGAAGATACTGGTTACAGAGTAAGACTAAGTCCCCCAAAAATAAAGTCTGGGGTGTAGTTCAGTGGTGGAGTGCTCACCTAGCATATGAGAGAACCTGGGTTTGATCCCCAGAGCTACAAAAGAAAGGGGGTCACCAGGCATGGTGGCTCATGCCTTTAATCCCAGCAATGGGGGCGGGGGCAGGTGGATCTCTGTGAGTTCAAGGCCAGCCTGGTCTACAGAGTGAGATTCAGGACAACCAGGGCTACACAGAGAAACCCTGTCTCAAAAAAACAGAAGAAAGAGGAGGAGGAGAAGGACGGAAGGAAGGAAGGAAGGAAGGAAGGAAGGAAGGAAGGAAGGAAGGAAAAAAAGAGAGAGGAAAGGAAAGGAAAGGAAAAGAAAAGAAGAGAAAAAAGAAAAGAGAAAGGGGGTAGGGAGAATGGTTGGGAAGCAAAGAGAACGCAAACCTATCTGACTATGGCATCCAGAAGTGTGGTCTTTGTTGTGTGCATGGTGGTGGTAGCGGGGGTGTCAGGACTAGATAATTCCATCAGGTAGAGTCCCTGACTGAATTCTGAAGGGAAGGCTGAGCATAGTAGCATAAAATATAATCCAAACTCTCAGGTGGTAGAGACAATAAGATCATGAATTCAAAGTCAGCTTCAGCTACATAGTGAGTCCAAGGTCAGCCTTGGATACAAGACCTGTCTTAGGGTTTCTATTGCTGTGAAGAGAGACACCATGACCACTGAAACGCTTGTAAATGGGTCTGGCTTACAGTTCAGAGGTCTAGTCCATTGTGATCATGACAGGAAGCATGCAGGCAGACATGGTGCTGGAGAGGTAGCTGAGAGTTCTACATCTGGATCAGCAGGCAGCAGGAAGAGAGAGCGACACTGGGCCTGGCTGGAGTGTCTGACCCCAACCCCAGTGACACACTTCCTCCAACAAGGCCACCCCCACTCCAGCAAGGCCACACCTCCTATAAGTGCCACTCCCTGTGAGCCTCTGGGGCCATTTTTCACTCAAACCACCACTGACCCTATTTCAAAAAAAATCAAAACAATGAGCTGGAGAGATAGCTCAGTCACTAAGACCACTGGCTCGGCTCTGTCGGGTGTTCTGTGTGGGTCGGTGGAAGAAAGAGGGTCACTCCAAGATGGATTTTAGGCTCTCAGCAGCAGGGAGGTCCAGCCTCTGATGGATGGAACCTTGAACAGCTGTGCAAAGGCATGCTTATTGTTACACAAAGGTTGTTTTTGGGGTAAAACAAGTTCCTCATACCAAAGCCCTGATCTAATCTATCCGTTTTTCTGAAGGAAATCATCACACCCCTGCAACCTTAGTCCTTATCATGTCCTGTTTGCAGTGGCCAGTAACACAAGAGCTCCGGGTGTGCCAGGATAGTCTTGTGACCAAAGTCACGCAAGGCCTGTAAAGCTGCTTCAGAAACACAACTCTACAGATAACAAAACAACCACTGTTTTCCACAACGATTTCTTCAAGGTCTAAGTACTTCTAGAAAACAACTATTCGTTCGGATGCTTACCACAGACACAGTGAAAAACAACTATTTCATTCTCATGTTTACCCTAGATACAATGATTCTACTAGATTCCCACAACAGGTTCGATTCTCAGCACCCACCTGGCTGCTCATAGCCATCTGAGCTCCAGTTCCGCAGGATCCAATATCCTCCTTTGGCCTCCAAGGGCACCCAGTCACATATAAAGAGACTTATACTCAGGCAAAACACCCCTACACTTAAAAATAAAAATAAATTGGGAAAAAAAAAAGCCAACAAGAAAAAGAAGAGGAGGGGACAGCCAGAGTAGACACACTAGAGGTGACCTGACACTCAGACCTGCCCCTCTGCGTGCAGCCCAGGGTGGCCTCTAACTCTCTATGTAGCGGAAGATGATATTTAGCTCTTGACTGTCCTGCTCTACCCTCCATATGCTGGGATTACAGGTGTGCACCCCATACCCTGTCTATGTGGTGCTAGGGATCAACCCAGGGCCTCGGGCATGCTGGGCCAGCACTCTCAAAACTGAGCTATACCCCCAATCTAATGTGTTCTTTATAATTTACCCAACCTCAAATATTTTGTTATAGTTATGAAGAATGGACCAAAACACCACGGAACTGAAAAGGCACAGAAGAGACATGGAACTCATCAAGGATGATTTTTCTGGATGCAGCACCCACCTCCGAGGCTGAGTGGATGAACAAGGGCTTGCGATTACTGAAATCAGGACGCGTGGGCCACTGCCATCGTGTGAGAGACTCTCCGGGAGTCTGCGGGAATCCATCTGCCTGCCGGCAAAGCTGCAGCTCCAGCAACCAAGGCAGGAAGGAAACACTGTGTGGGTGACGCCACATGAAGCCGTGTGGTGATGCCCACAGAAGCAGACAGGAAGGAGCAAGTCCCTCTTCCCTCCCACAGACACACAGCTGCTCCAAACTCCCCCATCGCTGAAGCCCAGTGGGGGCAGAACAGAAACATGGCTGAAGAGACTGCTCAGCAGGTAAAGACTGCAGAGTCTGCTCTATCCCTGGGACCCACACAGTAGAAGAAGAGATCCAAGTCCTGCGTTGACCTCTGACCTCCACACTAGTACACACACACACACACACACACACACACACACACACACACATACACACACGCTCACACATATAAAAGTAATTAAAACAAGTTTTAAATTTTTATTTTTGTTTACGTGTATTTCTGTGTGCCAGCCTATCTGTTTGTGTCCCATGTCACACAGGTGTCCATGGAGACCAACAGAGGGTGCCAGGTATACTAGAACTGGAGTTACAGGTGGTTGTGAGTTGCCATGTGGATGCTGGGAATTGAACCCAGGTCTTCTGCAAGAGCAGCAAGTGCACTGTGCCTCTGATCCATCTCTCTAGCCCCCAGACACATCCTGCATCCATGGACTCACATCACCCTTCAAATCAGCCTCCTGCCCTAAAGCGGTTGCCCCGGCTCTGCTGAGGCCTCTTGCTCTGAGGGACAGGGTTGTACCAGCCCCTCTACCTCCAAGCTTGGGACAGTGGCAGAGTGTCCGCAACCCCAGACAGACCTCAGAAATTCCTGTGAAACCTGCCTGGCCTGGAACCTGCTATGTAGACCAAAGCCATTTATGCAGTGCTAGCCATTGAACCCAGGACTTAAGGAATTCTCAGTAAGCACTCTTCCAACTAAGCTGCATCCTAACCCAGCTTGTTTTCTTTAAGAAAGGATATCATGTAGCCCAGGCGGGCCTCAAACTAAAGATTATCCACCTCAGCCTCCCTAGTGCTGGGGTCAGGAGTGGCCCTCCATACCTGACCTTTAGAGACTCCTTCGGCTCCACTTGACTCCTTACCATTCAACCTGGATTGTGGGGTCCAGTTCTAATGCACAGCATTGACCACAACCACCACACTGGTGCAGTGAAGATTCACGACCTGAGGTCCCCAAAGACCCAGCACCCCCAGCCCATTACTGTGGAGGCCAGGCTCAAGGAACAATCTTGAAAGAAAATCAGGAAGGACTTGAAATTTCTGAGATCTCCCTGGGGTTCAGGACACTCTGCCATTGTCCCAAGCTTGGAGGTAGAGAGGCTGGTACAACCCTGTCCCTCAGAGCAAGAGGCCTCAGCAAGCAGAGCCAGGGCAACTGCTTTAAGGCAGGAGGCTGATGTGGAGGGTGAGCTCCTGTCACATGGGGAGTGGGAAATGAACCCCAGGGATACTGCATTAAGTGAAATAAGCCAGGTCCAGAAGGAAACACAGCATGGCGTCAGTCATGTGGGGTCTCTGAAACCCTGAGAGAGCTGGAGGATGATCAGAAGTTCAAGGTCACCCTAGGCTACATAGTAAGTCTAAGGCTAGCCTGGGCCCCGTCACAAACAAACACCAGACCATCTCCTTGATGTAGAGAGGACCATGGTTCCCAGACACAGGTAGGGGAAAGGAACTTGGTCAGTGGACCAATGTCACAGTTATGAGCTCAGCCACACTGCAGAGCAACTAGAGTTCACCATGTAACTGGAAGAGAAGAACTTGGTTTGGATTTTAAGGGGGGAGGATTGTTTGTTTGTTTGTTTGTTTTATTAGAGACCTGGGTTCCCTATGTAGCTCAGGCTAGACTGGAATCCCTGAGCTGAAGGAAGCAAGCCATCCTCCAGCCTCAGCCTCAGGAGAGCAGCTGGGAAAGGCATGTATCACTCACTGCCCATGCTGAAGAGATTTCAAATACTTCAGTACGAAGGAGATGAGAGCAGGCAGTGGTGGCGCATGCCTTTAGTCCCAGCACTTGGGAGGCAAAGGCAGGCAGATCTCTGTGAGTTCCAGGACAGCCAGGGCTACACAGAGAAACCCTGTCTCAAGAAACCTAAATAAATAAATAAATAAATAAATAAATAAATAAATAAATAAATAAATAAATAGATGAAACCAAAGGGAGGTGATGTCTAATGGCCCTGGATTGATCTCCACACAAGCTTAAGTGTATAAAGTGGTACACCTGCCTGTAAATTCCTACTGTAACCACAAAGCAAGTAAACAACAACAGGATGGGCTGAGTTCCCAGGCTCAAGGGGAGGAAAGGTGGTCAGCCAGAACTTGAGAGGCAGCATACAAGGGCCCTCAGATCTCCTGACTTGGGTATGAGCCACCTGAGTGGTAAGAACTCCCTGCCCTCAGCCCCCAGTCCTCAGTGGCTTGTTTTGAGGCAGCTGCTGTGAGAGTTACCAGAGGCTCCATTAAGCTCAAAGGAGTATCACCTGCCAGGCTGCCTGTATAGTCATTGTCCTGCTTTTTGCTTGCACGAGGTCCCTCTTCTCTCCTGGGGGGGGAGGGGGGGCAGTCACCTCCAGAGCCCTCTTGCTCTCTGGATCCAATTCCTAGCCAGGGGAGACCGCCCCGGGCAAATTGCTGCTGTCAATTAGATTGCCAGCATGTCTGCCCTGCAAATTAATGATTTCATTCATCAGCTCATAAATCACCTCCTGCCAGAAGCCTGGCCTGGTCCCAGGAGAATGTCCAGGCTCAGAACAGACTAAAAGCAGATCAGCATTCCCAAACTATGTTCCAGGGAACCTGCCCCTCCCCAAAAGGTGTCCAGGGCAAGCCTGAGTCAAACAGATATCACCATGCAGGATTTGACAGTCTTGACCATACTTGAGGGGCTCTGTGACTTTCTGGGGACTTTTCATGGAGGGCTGACCACGAGATCTCAATAGAAAATCCTACCATTCCAAGGAGCAGTTTGCAAATGTTTAGGGAGCTGGGCTTGGGGGTGAACAGCTTGGCATTATGAACAGGAGGATTGGGAATTCAGGGTCTGCCTGTGCTATGAGACCATGTCTCAAAACAAATGTGCTGGAGAGATGGCTTAGCAGTGAAGAGCATTTGTTGCTCTTGAAGAAGACAGGGGTTTGGTTCCCAGCACCCACGGGGTGGCCACTCACAAGCATCTGTAACTCCAGCTCCAGGAAGTCTGATGCCCTCTTCTGGCCTCTGTGGGGTACTGCACACACATGGTGCACATAAAATCAGGCAAATTCACACCCATAAAATAAAATTTAAAAAAGCTAAATAAATAAACAAAAATACTGTGACAGAACAGCTCCCACACTGACTGAAAAACAGACCTTGCCCCCCAAGAAACACTCACCCATCTCCTGTCTGTCCTGGACAAGGTGAGGGTTAAGCATGGAATGTTAGAGCACACTGAGCCAAGAGCTGACCCGCTGTTGCCTCCTCCTAGGGACCATCCTTTAGTACCCGTTAGCTGCAGTGAGGTGACTGCCCCACAGTCACAGCTGCCAGGGTGTCTCTCTCCTTAGAGTCAACTGTGCTTTCCACCCCGTCCTGTCCCCTACAGGCCAAGGGCCCACTAAGTCCCAGGGGCATCCCAGAAGCTTCCCCAGGCCCAATATCGTATCTGAAGATCAGGACGGGCCAGGAGCACAGGCACACTCCATGGCCCCTTTGCCTGGTGCCCCCAGCCTCCCTGCCAGGATACTACCGTGTCTGCCCCAGCCAGGCCCAGCCTCCTTCCCTGGCCCACTCCCTCTGCCAGTGGTACATGTCTGCCCACATGGAGTGATTTCTTCTAAGGTTTTTCTTGAGATGGGTTCTCACGTGACCTAGGTTGGCCTCAAACTTGACTCACAGCTAAAGATGAGGGACACATGGGAGTCAAGTGTGTAACAGTGGGTGCTGTGTCACCAGGAGGAAGCCCAAGAAGGATACTAGATTACTGAACTTCTGATTCTCTGCCTCCACCTCCTGAGCACTGGGATTACAGGCATGAGCCACCAACACCTATTTAGTGAAGACAATTTCTAGTATGAAGCCCTTTGATAATCAAGCATCATCATATGAATGGGTGACAGGCCCTGTACCCTCAGTCCCAGCCCCCACCCCCGAGCATCATACATCAGAACAATGGAAGCTGCAAACACAGCCAAGCAGTCAGGTGCCTCCTGCCCCTGTGAGCCTGAGACACAGGACGGAGGGATCCAGATCTGTGAGACCAGTTAAGTGCCCAATGAGGCGAGGAAAGGAGATGCTGAAGGAAGGGAGCCACTACCGGCTCTGGTTAAATCCAGCAGCCTAGCATGTGTGAGGCTCTGGGTTCCTCCACCAGAACTACAAAATAAGCAGAAACACATAAATGTGGCAGTCAGCTGTGTGGGCGGGATTTGGGGGCTTCCCTGTCTGTCATCCCAGCCTCGACCGGCCGCCGCCGACGAGATATTCCTAGAATGCAGTCCCTGGTGGTCATAGGTTGGCTGTCTACATACAGGAAAAGGGATTTGAATCTGCACCAGTCACTCATACTTCCCAGCAGCCCTGCCCGAAGTGTGACCTAGAAGGCCCTAGAGGGAGTGAGCGGGTGGGAAAAGAAAACTGGGAATTTATGAGAAAATGCCCTGAGTTCTGTCCCGACAGTAAATAACTAACGGAAAAGACTGTAAGTGCAAGAGAGAGATGGACGAGGAAATGGCCATGGAAACAGGAACCTCAGGCCAAGGAGCAGCCACTAAGGGCCAGCGCCAGCTCATGCCTTTGCTCCCTTTGAACGGTCTGATCAACCTTTCTTCCCCACAGTCACGGGGGTATCAGACATTAAAGACCCAGGACCCTCCACCAGGCCCATCCTGGATGCCCTGGCTGAGGGGCTGAATCCCAGTCCCAGTCAGGTGGCCTTGCCTGTGATCTCAGCACCCGGGAAGCTGAAGCAGGAGGATTGCGGTTAGTTTGAGGCCAACCTGGACTGTGCATAGCAAGATCTTACCCTCAGCCCATCCCCCAAAAACAGAGAGAGCGGAAGAAGGAGGAAAAGAAGAGGAAGGAGG